TAGAGGAACAAGAACCTCTGGATTTAAATCCCAGCAGGAGCATGGGCACACCCCAGTCAAAATCCTCAGCCATAGCAGCAGCCAACACCCAATACATCTGAAGAAGGCTTAAGAACACATGTAGCAGAGGGGGAAGGGGGGGGGAAGGGAAGGGCTGCATGGGAAATGAATTCCCCCCTGGCCCCCTGCAGCAAACAGCAAAGCCTAGAAACAATCAGAAAAAGTCATACTAGAACATAGGCACAGCTATGCCTAGATCATCCTGACCAATGTCTGTTCAACCTCTTCTCAAGGAGGTCCAACACTTCCAATGATGAAGAGTCCACAACTATTTAAGACAGTCTATTCTACTGCCCTCCCCACCCCCCACCTTCCCCTCATTTTAACAGTGACAGAGTTTTTCCTGATATTCAAGCTAAACCTACTTTGTGGCAACTTCAAGCCATTAGCCCATGTCCTACTCTCTGCTTCAAGAGAATAAAGGTGCTTCCCTCTTCTTTATGGAAGCCTGTCAAGTATTTGAAGATTGCTGTCATATCCTCTTAAATGCCTGTTCCCCAACTGAACATTCTTCAACCTCTCCTCCTATAATTTGCCTTCCAAGCCCTGTATCATTTTTGGCACTTGCCTCCGGACCCACTCTAACTTCTCCATGCCCTTTTTGAAATGTGGAGCCCAAAACTGCATGCTGTACTCCAGATGAGGCCTAACCAGTGTTGGGTAGAGAGGTACTATTATCTCCCATGTCCTACACCTAATGCTTTTATTGACGCATCCCCAAAAGCACATTTGCCTTTTGTGCAACTGCATCACACTACAGACTTGTATCGCATCTGTGATCTACCAAGGCTTCCAGGTCCTTCTCCACAGTGAGGCCATCTAGCCATATGTCACACATTTTTTATTTGTATTTATGATCATTCTTCCTCACATGTAGCACCTTGCATTTGTTAGTACTGAATTTCATTTTGTTAGCTCCAACCCAGCTTTCCAACCTGTCAAGATCCTTCTGAATTATACTCCCATCCTCCAATGTGTTCACAATCTTTCCCTTAAATTCATCTTAAATCAAATAATCTTCTTTGATATGTGCTTATTGTTTCCACCCACTCAGTGAAAAAATAAACCCAATTTTCAGATAAAGCATGTTTTGCTCCAGACGATAGCATTTAAATTTACTTTTATGTTACTTGCCTTAAATACAATTATTAGTGTAGACTGAAATATTACTCTGCTGTGTAGTACAGATTGCAATTAAAGTAAATTTTAGATCCATGGATTAGCAATATAGATGCCACCTGCTTCGATTATATTTCTGTTGGAAGCAGAGTAACACCTCTGAAACAAAATAGTTTATTTCCATGTATCCCTCATATTCTTAGATTCTTGTTTTAAACTGGGTTAAGCTTGCCTCAATTTTTTAGAGTGCAGTTTTATCAGACAAGGACTGTGCCTTTTTTCATTTTGTCTTTCCTATCAGACTTCTTGTTCTCTTCTCCATCACTGCTGACAAGTCCTCTCTTCTCTGTTACCCAAACTCACCATCTCTATCCTGTTTTCATCTCATCTTTCTCTTCTGTCCCCTCTCAAAATTGCCACATAACCCTGCCTGTTCCCCTTCCATAGCATCTCTATAATCCTTTCCCCCATCTCACCCTGATAAAATCCTTTATCTTGAATTGTCCTACAACATCTTCCCTTCTCTGATTTCTTAGTTTGTTCAGTCTATTCAAAATATCATGCTTGAAATTATCTTATTTTATCCTGTGCTTGGACAGTGTTGCTCTTCTGTTGACTATATTTGGCTCTTCACATCAAAGTCAGTCATCTGAAAGGCTTTGTACCTCTCTCCACATCTGTCAACCAATATGGCCCCAACCAATCTGCCTACAACGTCTCATATTCTCTTTGTGGTCCATACCAATCCTATCTCTCTCATTTCTTCCCCCCTCACATTATGGTGTATGTGACTGCTTCCATGTTACTCCTTACTCTTGCAAATACCTCCTGAATATTTTCTCTCTACATTCAGATATCACTTTTCAACACATTTCTTCTAAACCTGATAGTGTTAGTCCATCAAAGAAAGAACTGTCATACTACTGCCCATATGAGAGAAAACACAGCATCACTGATACACATCAACCTTTAGGTCCAGAATATATTGCAGAACTGATTCAAGGTCCACAGATGTCAACAGAAGTATTCCCATTTGACTTCAGAACACACTGTATGTACGTGGAGTCAATTCAGAACTTAGATTTTTAGAGCCAGGTTTTTCTTTTAACCTTTTATCCAGAAATGATCATGCCACTACTTTAATTCAGCAACAAAAACAACTATATACTAATCACCTAGCTCTAGATACAACCTGCCCATCCAAAGTAAAGATTATCTTTGTGTAAACTATTTCAATTTAAATAAATATCCTACTGAGTCATTCCTCTGAAGTGAGAACATTGTAGTTAAAGAACAGGATTTAATTACTTGTAATCAAGTCATTGAGTAGATTAATAAAGTGTGAAAATGACCATCTTCTTTGTTTACCTATTTTCTAAGTACTTGTATATGTACATCTCCTAGTTTTCTGTATTTAGAATGAAATCCTGGTTCTATCATGGCCTGTGGAAGCTTTGCTATTGATTCAGTGATAACAAGATTTTAACTTCTACATGTGCCTATTATTCTACAAACTGTGTGATGGATTATGAAACTCTTTTAAAAGGGGGGAAGGACAAGACTCCTTTGCAAGAGTAAACGTACAATTCTCCTCTCTGTCTCTTATTGAGCCAGTGCATCTGAGCAGTGTATTGTAGTTTTCTTTGTTGCTTTTTTGCATTTAATTACACTTATAAACCAAGTTTGTTTTACTTTTGTTGTCAGGACCTTTAAATTCATAAAATTTGAAGCCACATCTTATAGTATTAAAAAAGCAGCAAGAAAGGCCTTGTTGTAATAGGAGTAAATCCAACAAGAAGCACGGAGCTAGTTTTTGTCTAACAGAAAAAGAGGATGCCAAGCACTTCTTGCAGTTGTTCACCAAAGCATATGTTGGGTAATTTGGGGTATGCTGGGTAATTCTCCAACACAGCATTTTTCTATTGGGGAACAGCAATTGCTCAAAATTGGATGCCTATCTTGCTGGCATCATTTGACCCCTGCTGACTGCCTGCCCTTTGGGCAAGGGGCTGGACCCGATGATCTTGCATGGTCTCTTCCAGCCCTAATGTCTATGAAATCTATGAAATATATGAAATCTATGAAAATTAAAATCTGTGTTCCAGCTGAACATATGATTTCCTTCACCTGGTCTCCTCCCATGGCTAGCTCCATAACAATCCACCTTGTAGCCTACTGTTGGCTATCAGCTTCCACAGCTGCAACCAAAGTAGTTTGATTTCAACAGAAATCATACTTACTACTTATAAACTACAGGAGCACCATGAGTTTCAGCTCTCTGCATCCCACTGTACCATAAATAACCTGTTACCACAGGAATCATTTCCCATGGAAAAAAATAATAAAACCTAGGTAGTGGCAGTTGAGGGTGTCAGCAGATGCAAATAAACAGACAGTTAAAAATAAGAGGATAATGGGAATAGAGATGAAAATAAATCAAAGGTAAATCAAAGATACATCTGAAGAAACAATCATTTGACACTGTACAGTCTCTCACTGTTCAGGTCTGTGTATGCTTTTAATTAAAGCACCTGTTGTAAATGAAGCATACAGTGTCTGCACATTGCAAGTAGGGCTGGCTGTGTGTCATTTCGATGGGTGTTTCGTTTCAAAGCTGTTTTGACGTGTTTTGAGCTCAAAGCAGTGAAATCAAAACAAAACAAAAGGTTTTGAAACAGTTTTGAAAGTTTTGAAACATTTTGAGTTTTGAAGCCAGGTTTCCTTGAAGCTAAGGAGAAACTAAGGAGTGGGAGCGGGACAAGGGGGGGAAGGACTGCTCTGATATTGACAGTGTAGCTGACCAGTGACTGTGATCCTTCCTTGAGGCCCCTTCCAATCCCAGTGCTCTGGGGGAGGGATGGAAAAGGGGACAGAAAAACAGCATAAAAAGCATTGTTTGAAATGAGCTTTCTCTATGACTTCACACTTACAAGTGACATGAGTTTTGCTCTGAACAGTTTGAGGTGCAGTTTCCCAGAAACCCCTGTACCTGTCTCCTTGAAACTTGGCAGGCTTCATGGCCTCAGCGGGGGCTACCATCCCTGCAGTTTTCAGTCCTGTGTGCCTTCACACTTACAAGTGACATGAGTTTTGCTCTGAACAGTTAGAGATGAAGTTTCCCAGAAACCCCTGCACCTATCTCCTTGAAACTTGACAAGCTTTGTGGCCTCAGCAAGGGCTATCTTTCCTACTGTTTTTGTTTGAATCAGGCAAGAAATGAGAAAGTTATAGGCATTTTCATGATTCCCCATTATAGCCTATGGGTAAAACGTTGAAATGCATTGACACAGCATTGAAACAGCAAAGCAGTTTCGACAAAATGAAACAGAACAGTGCTTCGAAACAGCAAAACAAAACACTGTCCCTTCAAAATGGTGAAACAGAAGTCAAAACAAAATGGTGCTGTTTCACACAGCCCTAATTGCAAGGTCTAACATATGGTCCAGCTGTTGTAAGCAAACAGCAGACCAGTCTCTTCAGCCTGTAGCACTGCTATTCTCCACATGACAGATGGAACTTTATATTTTAACAGCACGATTTAGAGCCAATTCCCAGGTTGCTCATTTCTGCCTTAAATCTAATACTGCCAACTACAGCTTTTTTAAAACAAGCCAACACCACCATTCCCCTGTCTTGTCACTAGTTTATCCCCTAAACCAAAAGATCCTGGTCAGCAATTTGCAAGGTCCCACTTTATCACCTGCAAGATCAGTAGCTCAATCATGCTAATATTTCAAATCTTGCATAATTATTTTGTAAGAAAAATAAAACAAAACCAATAGGGACTTCACATTTTCCAGAAAAGGTCAGTGTATACTTACATAATTTGAGGCGAGATCAGGATGAAGATAATCAATTCCTGTAATAAGACAATGAAACACACAACCCAAAGGTTAAGAGTTTCAAAAAAATTTTCATAATGACCACCAAACACAAACATTTTCAACTGCTACTATAGGAAATGATAGTGAGGAATAATGCTAATCTCAAAGCTTGTCTGGAATAAAACACCAATTTTCAAAAGTAGGCTTTTAAATTAGGGTATCATTTCTGCTGCAGGCCAATTTAGGAGGTCTTAATAGAATATGTCAAAGTGGCAATTTGAATAACCAGAAGTAGAACTGAGCCACAAAATTTAGGAGCCTAGTTTGTAAATGGGATCATATAGATTGAGAAGCAGAAGCTGTAGTAACATTTTACCTCCACATAATAACTTTAATCTGAAAGGCTCCCCAAGCATCACTATATCTTGTTTTGATCCTATAGGTAGGTCAATCTAAAAGCAACTTCTGTACATACCCTAATAGTGTAAAATGGTACTATACAACAGTGTCGGGTATAAGAAAAGAATATCACTGAAAATGGAAACTGCAAAGGCAAATTAAGAAGGCAGAAATGAGGAAATTACTGGGGCAAGCAGGTCTGCTCCTGTGAATGTCCACTCTGGGAAGTTTTTAATGATAGATCAGACTGGTTACAAAATCTCAGAACATTCTCGGAAGACTGAACAATCAGCCTCCTGAGTATATATCATGGTACTTGCTGAGGTTAACACTAGACTTGAGTGTAACACTTGCAAAAATACCAAAATATGATATATGAAATTCATCTGTTTGCTTTTAAATCTAGTCACAAGCCAGCAATCCCCTACAAATCAAATAAAGATCATGAATATTTTTTAATGTGAACTGGATATAACACTACAAGAGTGAAAAATATATGGTTGCTCTGCACACGCTGTTGATCTTATAAGTGTTACTTCTTCTATTTAGTGCTTTGGGTCCTGTGAATCCTGCGGATAGCTGTGTGCAGGGGGACCTCTGCACCTGCAGCTTTGATAATCCCAATAAGAAGCCACCTGGATACAGGGTCTCCCAATACTAGGAGCACTGTGCAGATTCAAAATCTGAGAGATTCATTAGGTAGCTCAAGAGTTACTAGAAATAACTACTGGAGCAAAACAAATAATTCATTAGAAATATTTTGCTCGATAGCGTTCATCTATATTTCAACAGTAGACAGCTCCCTGAGCATGTATTCGCTTAGGAAATTATTTACCAAACAATATGAACAATTCTTGGTTTGCAAACAGTTTATTCTGACTACTGTAATTTGACTTGAGTTCCATTACCCTTTACTGGATATGGAAGTCAAACAGAACATTTCTGTTTTTAACTGGGTGAGCCCAGGAACAGTTATCCCTGCTTATGAATTCAGAACTGACTTTATGCAGCATTTGCTTAAGATCTGTAGAGTTAGTGAAAATGTCTGCAAGGGGTATGTTGGTATAGTCACAGGGCATGTCTACACATTACATTAATGCAAAGCAATAAATTCTGGCACACAGCACACCATAATTTATTCCTCCTGGGTACCACATTTACATGTGCATCTGGGACCTCAGCATGTTGAGCCAGGTCAGAGCAGCCCCAGCTGGCTGGAGGCCAGGGGGTTACGCTGCCAGCCCAGGGCTGCTCCAACCTGGCTCAACATGCTGCAGAGGAGCTGGCTGGGGCACAAGGGTGCTTCATTGCAGGGCTAGGTAGCAGGCAGCCCCCATACTGAAGCATGTTCTTACTCCAGCCAGTCCCAGCAGCATCTACACATGCATTGCTTTTGTGCTAAGGAACCCTACCACAGGACAGTACTTGTATTTACAAGTACTAACCTATGGTGGAGTGAATTTGCTTACTGTGGTCTAATACGACTGCACATGTAAATATGGACACTTTACTGTGGAGCTAAATAGGCAGATTCACAGTAAATGTCTTGTGTAGACATGCCCACAGAGCACTAGTCAATGTACGGAGCCAACTCTCCTTCCACACTCCACTCTAAATGCTTCATCCAAAGAACCAGTTCCATCCCCCCACTCACCCCCAGGTCCCAGCCTAATTTGGCCTGAACTTCAATCATCTCATTGTCATCCTGGTAAATATTGTGCCTAGTCACTGAAGGTGAAATTTTTGCCATGTTGGACTAACAAAAATGAGACACTAGGCTTAAAACAATTCACATACTGTCTCATTCACATACCACAAGGCAGTCTGGTTAACTATGTACCCAGCAGCCTCATTTCAATTTTTAACAGGAGGGTGACAGACTAGAACAAGGACAGATCTCAACAGATCCCTGAAAATACAGCTGGCTTCGTTTTATTTTATTTTTTAGCACTATTCAGTCACTATGGAAAGCATACTACAAAATTTAGCTAGCAAAAAACTGAAGAAAGAATTCTACAGACTTCTTGTATTTGGCCAATCTAACCAATCCATGCAAAGCACAGCTGTGTTTTCAACCATGGATTGTATCTTCTGTATCCCTTACACCTAGCCCTAAACTATTAATTTATATAATATGCAGGTCTCTATGGGCATTCACTAGGGAAGTGTTAAATTATTTCAGCCCCATGTGCACTTTGAAAATATGTTAACCAGGAAAAATGCTCTCATATCTATTCTCTGCAAGGCAATAAACTTCCTAGCCAATTCCCACAGAAGCTGATGAGAGCAAGTCCTATTGGTTTAATGGCCTTTGGATTGATTCCTACAAAGAACTGTGTGTGTGACAATTAGGGGTTACTTTTATAGGTACAGGCATTGGCACTTCAGTGGCTATTGTGCAACACTACACTTAAAACATCTTTCCTTGTAGAATGAAAGGACTTTAAAGAGGCTGGTAAACATTATTGCCATGGTCATCAATCCAACATACTTTATTATTATTATTATTATTATTATTATTATTATTCATTAGAATACATGAAGAAAGCTATTTTAGTTATCAGATTATTTTATACACCTTGGAATCTTCACTTACCATCATCCATAATTCCTATAGTAACTCCTTTCCCTGTATATCCCAGCTCCCAGGCTTCAGCTACATTAAGATCAAGTCCAGGAGTCCCATCTGCTTGACCAGTGTTGATCTAATACATCAAGTGAAAAGTAGAAAATCCTTATTTATTCTATGCATAGTCAAATTTCTACAGTCACTGAACTGCTGCCCAATACCTAGTGTGTATATACACTAGTGAAATATATCTCACATTAGTATAAAATGGAAAATAGAACAATAAACTCAGAAGCAGGAGAATTCACAACAGCAGAAGAATTAAGAACAAGCATAAAGTACAATCCTTACTTAGGACCTGATCTCACAAGCATGGGCAGAATTTTCACTGAAGTCAGGACTAGGTTTAGGCTCCATTCCAAAAATGCACTTATCTACAAGTCCAAATGAAATGCACTTATCTACAAGTCCAAATGAAGCACTCCTAACCTTAAAAAAAACATGTTTAATTCCTTTGTTGGATCAGGGACCTCAGATAGGGATCTTAGATACCACCTTGTTGGTCTGATGATGGAGTGTACAAGCTTATCTTAAATATATTCTCAGATATATTCACATTCAAATACATTCTCATGGGCTGCATCTACATGAGATGCTGACTGCGCAGTAGCTCATTACTAGCGTGCAGTAGCGTTGTGTGGCACAAAGCATGATGTGGCACTACTGCACAGTAGTAATGAGCTACTGTGCATCAGCATCACCTAAAAGCTGTTGGGTGATGCTACTGCACTGTAACTCCAGTTACTCCATAGTCATTTAGTACTTGTGTATACATATGTGCATACAAGTACTAAATGACTGCGCAGTAACAATTACACTGTCAGTGTCTCATGTAGATGCAGTCACAAATACCAAGAATAATGTAAGAATGATGGATATGATTGCAGGAGAGCTGGGTAGCCCAACAAGTCATCTTCTTAAACCAACATTAAAGGTGGTAGACGTACCATTTAACATGTTTCTGGTTGTAAAACATTTTAAAAGAACAACACTTCAGCCAGAGGATATGCATGCAGACCCTGTGGCATCTCCAAAATCACCTTGGCTACATGCCAAAATTGACTTTTTTGTTTTAATTTTGCAGTTCGGGCCAAAATGTAGCTTTTTTGACCCGTAAAATGAATTTTTTTGCAAGAGTGTCCCCCTCCCCCTGCAGCATTTTTCAGATCAGTTCAGCATAACACAGTACTATGATTCCATAGTGAGATATTTGTCCTATTCTATATAACAGGGAGCTCCTTAAGACACAACATGGAGATTTGATAGGGACATACATAAGCAGCTTTAGTAATCATGTCTGCACTGCACAAGTTCTCACACAACACCAAGTTATAACTTTGTTTCATAGCCCAGCGAGTCCTTCTTTTGATTTCACTGAGCCAAAGTCAGGTCCCAGCATTCATGAGGAGTCTCTTGGAATAATTTCGAAGTTCTAGTGAGAAATCTGGAAGACATGCTCACAGAACAATGAAACAAGAAGGAATAACATGGAAGTAAATTGGTTATATATTATTACTCAAGATCTCACTTAAGAACTAAAATTGAATTGCTTACCAGGTACCACTGTTTTGTAAATAAAGGATCGTTCATGTTAATGTCGATTTCATTGATATCTCTATAGCCTCGCTTTTTTCTGTTAAAGCCTTCCTGCTGCACAGCCTTCTTAACCTGGAATAGCAATTTTTACAATATTAACACAACATTTGTAATATCAGAGGGTTTTGTTTCTGCTATATTGTTTTTTCTTAGCAAAAAAATTAAGTCCTCTACATAGTTCTTCATAGTTTAGCCCTCCTAACATAAGGCTATGGCAGTGGGTCTTGACCTTTTTAGACTCAATGCACTCCTTGTAAAATGCTAGTTCTTAGTTTTCTCTTGGTTTTTGACAACAGAAAATACTAAAGCAATTCTTCTGTAGTAAAGATATTAGAGGGCGCATCCAGATGAGCGCAACCATGTAGTATGTGGTGCTGCAAACACATCTGCAGCACCACATACCACACACTCAGGTGTCCTCCACATTGTAATGGTATGCTGACCATACATGCAGCTGCTGTGTTTTTTTTCTGGACATCCAGGGGTCAAAAAAAACCATGGAAAGAAAAAGCAGAGCACCGCACACATGGGCAAGTGCATGCTGCTGAAAAGTGGTGTGGAGCCACCTGCAGCCATAGTGCAGCTGCCAGCCAGGCTCTGCTCAGCAGGATCACCAGGATCACCACTGCTGCAGCCCTGGGAGGCCCCAGACCCCAGGTAAGGCTGGAGGGGTCAGCACCAAAGCGTGCATGGCAACTGCATTCTCTGGGGACGAGTAGCTGCAGTGCAAAGTGTACCGCTGCCACTTGTCCCCAGGGAACCAAATATCCATGCTATCTGGATGCGGCCACAAACACCAAAGCAGTTCAAGATGTTTTTAACAGTATGAATTCCTATTTGAAATCTCTGGGTTTACCTTTTGACTCATGCTTGCATATTTAGCAATGCTAACAATATTTGGCACTCTTAGGCACCTTTAAAAGGACCTTAAGGGACCCCAGGGTGCCACAGTACCCTGATTAGGGATCACTGGGTTATGGATTATATGATTTTGGATTACATGGAGGTGAACTAACCTCAGCTTTCATTTTTTTAGACTTTCAAACAATACATTTCCAAAGTCAGCCCCTGTTTTCTGCATTGAATGAGACACACAGTTTGTAACATCTTTCTTCCAAAATACATTGATACCAAATAAATATTATATGATTTATGGGCCATCACCTGTGCAGTTGAACGTCTCAATGTTTTATTAGTAAGGAATCAATTGTTATGAACATTGTTATAATAAATATCTTGTAGTAAAATGCATATAATGCCAAGAAAGATTAGCTGTAAGAAGCAGCTAAAATTGTCACTGAGGTTGGAATATATGAAAATATTATGTTTAAATAGAACAGATCAAGTCACAAACATGAGAGAGATAAATCATTTTTTGAAGTATACAACTAGACATTAAGGCCCAGATCCACAAAGGTGTTTAGTCACTGAGTTCCCATTTAAATCAATGGGCATTTGGTGCACACGTACCTTTGTGGATCTAGTATTAATGCCGGGTCATAATGAACTTCTGTGCAGCAATATGGGGTGGGAGACTACTGTTCACATGGTGGCAGAACCAGCATCAAATACTCAACTAGTGTAAATCACTGCAGATGGTGAGGCCCCAGGAAAATATTCCAGAGCTATTTCAGTGACTACACCCTCTGTGTGTCAATGAAAACACACAATACCCCAAATGATGAGTCAAGGAGGAAGGCTGTATTGGAACAGAATGAGACCATTATACAACGTTCTAGAAATGGAGTGTTCCACTCATCCCCCATTAGACCGGGAAAGATGAGCATTAAAGCCTATGTTGCACTTTTAAGCTACTAAAAGGAAATACTTTACACCATACATAATTAACTTGAGGAACTGTCTGCTAGGTGAAACTGTTGAAGCAGAATGCTTAAGAAGTTTCTAAAAACGGATGTAACAGAGAAAATTCAATATTGGATCTGAAATTTCTTTTGTTTAGTATACAGAAACATTGACAGTTTGTTTTAATCATGATTTTTGGTATATTTCTTAAAGGCCCATCTTAAAAGATTTAAAACTGTATGAGGATCACAGCTTTCATTAAAAAAAAACCCTAAGGATCAAGGTTTTCTTATGCTTTCTAGGTATCCCATGCTTACAAGGAAAAGCTTAAAAATTATGAGCACCAGAAAGGCTCAGAAAAAAACTGGCAAAGAACAAGAACCTATAACATACGTTTTTACCAAAAAAAGATTATGAATTATTATTAAGTCATCTGCAAGACTTTTGGCTCCAATACATACTTTTTAAATGTGTGAGGCTATCAGAAGGTATAATAAAATAGGAAAGAGAGCATGAACCCTGTTGCATTTAACAGGCCAGCCACTAATTCACAAGAATTAAAAAGCTATTTCCCCTATAAGCTACTTCACCTTTACTTATAATGACAGTACTCTGAAACATCTAGTACTAGCCTGCATCAGAGACAGAACACTAAAAGTTATGGACTACTGGTGTTTTTTAGTATGACCATTTTGATAGTCCTGAAAACCAATTGCATTAAGTCTACTGCTTTGACTAAAAGTAGAAGAAGAGTGATGTTCCCTTCATAAGGATGTTATTTGCTTGTATTTATTTGTGAAGTTTCATTGAAAGTGAAGAAAAGAAACAATACTAAGTAAATGAAAAAGAGGACAGGGATTAAGTAGGAACCACATTGTGGGCATATCTACAGATTCGTTAATGCACCTTTGCTACTGTGCATTAAGTTTAGTACCTTTATTATGAAGTACTAGATAAAGGAGCAGTAGTTGTGCTAATGTGCAATAACAAAGGTGAACTTTTTATTTGTAACATTTAATAAGCAGTAGACTAATTCTACTGTGCATTAGCATGGTTTTTGCCATGAAATGCTAATGCACAGTAGAACAGACCACTGAACATTAAGGTCTCTCATGTAGATGCACCCTGTGAATAATTACTTATATCAGATATTTTTCCTGAGGGAGAGAGACTGGGGCACATCTACCTTAGACACTACATCACTGTAGCTATGAGCTATGGCAATGTAGCTCATCGCTACAGCGACATAGTATTGGCAGGCACTAACCGTGATACTGCTGCTACTGTGGGGTTAAAAATGATTCATGCACCACCAGAACTGCACAGTACTGGTGGGTACTGCACAATCATTTAGTACTTGCTAAACTAAAGCAAGTACTAAATGACTGTGCAGTACTAACTGCGCAGTCAGGGTATGTGTAGATGCACCCGGGGTTGAGCAGATTGTTTGACGTCTCTAAAATATGTGTTCGTGGTGTCATGGAGACAACAGAAAGGTCTCCTATGATTACGCCTTTGTCAGCTACCACCTCTGCCTCTACTCTTGCTATTCCGACCAGCAAGCTGTCATCACATAAAATAATTAAACAACCAAAATCAACCTTTACTTCAGAAGACTGCCAGTGAAAAAGAGCTCAAGCATTTGTACTCCCACACAAGCCTGCTGTCTCTATAGGACCTATTGCATTAAGGATCCAGTATAATAGGAGCTCTAGTCATTAAACAGCAATGATTTGCTTCTGTATGTTTTTTCTTTAAAATGGCTTGGAAAAGAGATGATACAGGACACATCAAAATTGGTCCCAACTGCTTTGATTATCCAGCATCATCCAGTTCACTAGTTTTGAATTATTAGTCATTATACTCTGAAAAGATATAACAAAAATGGAGATGTATTCCTTTAACAAAGACCATTGTACAGGAAGCTTTCTGAAAATTGTACATAAATAAGATGCATCCAGTGCAGTGAAACCCAAATATAAGATAAGTGTGTTCTTACCTCATGCTGCTGTAATTATTAGCACATAAAATCCTAGGGAAGATAGGGCATGTGTAGTTGTAGTTTTTGCATGAGTTAGTACATCCAGGTTATCCTTCAGCTCCCCCAAACCTTAAGAAAGCTATGAATTGCCTTGTCTTTCTATGAGGTAAGAATACACCTTTTCTTTTAGACAGGTGATTAGCTGTGTTACTCTTAATGTATTACTCTTAAAGTAGGCAGAAGGTAGAGCAGGGTGGCACCTTAAAGACTAACTAGATATTCTATCACTGACCTCAGAGTAGCCATCCCTAAACCAAAACACTTTAAAAGCTAACTTGTATGCAAAATTTCAGAATGAGAAATCATCCACAGACAGGATTGTGTCAACCATGGTCTCAACAGGAAATGTGGTTTCTTATTCTGTTGCCTGGACTAGGTGCTAACTCCAACCTCCTTTAAAGTGTTAACTGACTTGTTCCTCTCAAGTGATACAATCAGCCTGCTCTTTACCTCTCTTATCAGTGTCTCCTTTCTCCACCCCTTTCCATTCTGTATAAATCCCTTTCTTTCTGCTAGTCCCTTCATAACATCTGATTAAGTAGATTGTTGCCTAGGAAAGCTCATGCCTCTCTGAACCGGTTCATGCCATTATGTTCTACCTTCTACCTATTCTTTAGTGAAGTGGTAACCAAAACGTACTAATCTCAGGTTCAAATGGTATCTTCTCTTTCAAAAATTCCCTAGAATATATTTCATATGTTATGTAAAATAAAACAGGTTTTAAAATCCTTGGATAGATGGGTGTGGGGTGGGTGACCTAGAGTTCCCTATGATGAGCTATCATATTAAAACAGAGCCAGCTGTCCCATCTACATTATGATTTTAAGCAGTTAAACTATAACATTTTAGCTAAAAACATTTTCTTTTTCTCATGAAGGATCTTGAAGTTACAACTCTTTTTATGATAGAGAATTTAAAAAGACTTTTGGGGCATATGCTGATCTCCTTTTTGCCATCTGTGAAGACAAAGGAACTCCATTAATTTCATGGATTGGGCTTCAATCCTGCAAACACTTGCACACGTGGCCTTATTAGCCTGCAAAGATGTCTGCAAAATAACATAAGTAGGACAGCATTTGCAATGTCAGGGCCTTAAGCTGTGGAAAATAGCATCTTTATAGGGTTAATTTTGTGAAGCATGGCACTTATTCGTAATCAATTGAGAAACAAGATTTTCTTTCTAAGAAGGCATATTATTTTCCTCTTTTCATAGCCGGGATCATTTGTC